ATTTTCATATGGCAACGTATTTGTGGTGTATAATCAATAAAATAATAATTGAACTAATTGATATGAAAACACAACATCTGCGCACGAACACAGTAATAGTATTACATTTGCATTTATTATTGAAAGCACTATTCGCTTAAGCAAAAAAAAATAATTAAATTACTAATTGAAATGCGTACAAACTTTGCAAAAAAGAACATCGTTAGGAAGCCTCAGTATATCTTAATATAGAACCAAATAAATATCTTGAAGGTCGAATTGAAATCAGGTAACATGTCACATGTCAATCTGTAGAAAATTCGAAGAGCCTTTGTCTTGCACTGTGACGTATGCAGAAACGTTATCCAATAGGAAATATACGCACTTTATTAACAGACTCACGCCCGGTTTCTGAAACACTGATCATCGTAAAAGTCAACTAATCAGCTGTCAAATGGCTTTTCAAATGTTATTTGAGTTGCCAAAAGGATGGTTAAACTCTCTGAATTGATCAGAATAATCTCCTTAATGAATAAAATGTAAATAAATGTAGAGTATAATAAAATCCAAAACCTACACTAAATTAGGAGTGTAAAATATCGTGTTAATGTCATATGGTAATATATGTTTTAGCGTCGTGGGAAGTACCACGTCCTCATAGACCGACGTGAAGTAGAAGTGTTATACTTCTGCGTCTCGTCTGGTGAGTGAGGTAGCCGGGGGCAACTTTATTGAAAGTCGGCAACGCATTTGCAACCGCACGGGTGTTGCGAACAAAGGTCACGTAAAGAAAAGGGGAAAAAAACTTTGCTAACGACATACAATTGTTTTTATCGACGGAACTTGTTTCAGCAAACATATATTTACTACAAACACTAGCAGCTCGATGTATTCCCGCTCAAATTTAGTCTACCCATAATAAAGCTCACATCGCCACGAGTAGGGGGGTCATAATCCCCTCCCACGGCCGCCGCGCCGCGTCCCCGAAATTTTTGCCAAATTAATCTTTCTTCAAACACTCCAAGTTCTTTGTGAGGCGATCGGAGGAGCAAATTTAATCTAGTGTCCGCAGTGATCGCGTATCGCGCTCGCGGGGCCACAGAGGGGGGCGCGGGGAGCCCGGGAGGGGGGCAAGCACAAAGAACTCTTAAACAAAGAGTTCGAGACTATAGGCTGAGCTAAGAGCAATCGATACAAAGCTCGCGCTAGACTTAGCCGTTTACCCCTTCGATTTTGCATTTGCGACGCCCCGCTTCAGAAGCGCACGATCTCTCGGAGTAGAGTTTTAACTCTCACGAGAATATAAAGAATATAATTTAAATAATTTCAAACATTTTCTAAAAGCCACCTTAATGGAAAGAGCTTATTATAATGTCGAGGAATACATTGAGGACAAGCATGTGTGGAAATGACTCTTGCTCTGCACTTGCAAGTCCCCTGGCTCCTGCTAAATTATACTAAAATAATTTTGTGTGTATACTTAAATACTTAAAAAAAAAATAGAAATAAAATATAAATGTATGACCGCAGAGTTTCTTGCCGGTTCTTCTCTTGCAGGTCTAGTTTAGTGAACCGGTGGTAGTTTTTGACGTTCAATAAGAGCTTAAAATAAGCCTATGTTGAATAAAGACATTTTGACTTTGACTTTGAAAGGTAGAGTATAGAAGTAACAATCCGATCGTTCGCTGCGTACAACTTTCTTAGGGTCAAGCACGTGTTATTTTATAAAAAAATAATCAAAATAATTTATTTCTTGACATAAGAAATGTAAATTTCATCTATCGATAGTCATTTTACGGTTTCGTTCCCAAAGGGTAAAACGGGACCCTCTTATTAAGCCTCCGCTGTCTGTCTGTCTGTCTGTCCGTCTGTCACCAGGCTGTATCTCATGAACCGTGATAGTTGGAAAGTATCACAGATAATGTATTTCCATTAGCGCTATAACAACAAATACTAAAAACAGAATACAAAAGCTCCCATACAACAGACAAGATTTTTTTGCCGTTTTTATAGATAATGGCACGGAACCTATTAATACGAGTCCGACTCGCACTTGACCGGTTTTTTTCAAACTACCACCATTTCATAATGAGGTTCCTCTTAAGAAGAAGAAACTCCGAAGGTTTAAAACAATGATTTTATTTAACAAAATAACAAAATTTTATTTTATAACAATAATTGTGACTCTTTATTTTTAATTAATACTTTCGTAATCTTTCTCCTGCTTTTAATATCCCACCAAGGTTCGATTAAAGCTTTGAGGACCGACCAATCTATGTTGAGATGAACTTCAACTTATTTATATAAAGACATCGGAAATTTGATACGTATATGTAATCCAAATTTGAAATAAAAATTAAAAAAGAAAACACGTTTAACAAATAACCTAGATTATTAAAATAACTTTTTTTACGCGAATATTATACACTTATCTAAAACCAATTTACTCATTTTAGCGTGGTTTATTTCCATATATTTCGAATGCTTTACAGCGTTTATGGTCGCGGACTGGATTTATTTTGATTAAAAGTTTATAAATTAAATTTTTGTATCCGATATAAAATTACTAGGTACGAATGTGCCGAATATATATCGATATATTTTTGTTTTCATCGATATTTTTAGCCGATATATTTGGATCCGATATATAGATATAAAATATTAAACATTGAATCCGGCACAGATTCCGTAGAAGTCAAATATTTAATACTTGACATACCCATTTTTTGGACAGCGGGTCTTAAATAGAAAATATCGATACATCGATATATCAATATTTTCTCTTCGATATATTGAGGCCGATATTGATAAATATCGATATATTGCTTCACTTTCGGCATCTCTAAAATTAATATTCCAGTTTAATGTACGTTAATGAATTAAAAATTCGTTGCCAGGTGTAGTTTTAGTAGTTTTTACTCGGAAGACGCTAGTTGAAATCCTAGCAGCAGCGAAAAACTTTTTGGACAAATGTTAAAATGCTTCGTATTGTCGGCTCGGTACCTGACGGCCCACCATACCCCGTGCAGCTGATAGTGGTAAATGCATGCGCAGAGCTGAAGATCAGATTGACGTGACTCAAGGCCTATGTCAAAGTCGAAATTTCTCTATTCAATATGGGCTAGTTTGAAGCCCTTATAGAACGTCAAAAAACTAGCACCGGTTCGCTATATTAGACTTGTCCAAAGAAGAACCGGCAAGAAACTCTGCGGTCTTGTTATATTTTTTTAAAAGGACATAATTATAAAATTAGAAAGGTCTAAAATCAGCAGCAGCCATAGGACTCGCAACTGCTGAGCAAGAATCATTTCCACACACCCTTGTCCTCAATGTATTCGTCGATGTCACAATGGAGGGAGTATTGTAACATCGAAGAATTACAATTAGCTAGCTTTTTGTAATCATGCCATTAGGGTAGCTTTTACAAAATATTTCAAATTGTTCACACTTAGTTGTCTGTGGATCTCACTAGTCTATATGATGATACGTATCTTACATTTGCCTCACAGTACACATACATACTTCTTCAACGGGAGCGATGAATGAAACTATTGAATAACTTCATATTTCACTTTATTATTACGACTACAAGACAATTATTGCAAACTCACTACAACTACATGCTGAATAAATAATAATTGCTTATCTCGCTGCAAGGGACAGCCGTATACAAAGTAGATTACGATTTACATTATTTACAATATAACATATTTACATTTTCCCAAAGCCTAAGATCGGACACACTGTGACACAAACAATACAAACATAAACGATGAATGTTGATTGTATTTGAAATAGCTTGGTAATTAATTTAAGTATTCCTTAGTTAGTTAGTAGTTTAGATAAGATAGTTTAATCTTTCGTTTTTTCTAAAATGACTTGAACGTGATAAAATTTAAATGTTAAGTACATGTCTTACGTTGTGAACGCAACGCATAGTTTTATTTTTTTTATTAAATTAATGGTTAAGTATTTTGTCGGCAACTATACATCTAACGCGGTTCAATCGCTAGAATGTTACTGTATGACAATTCACATCGCCGCACAATTTCTAAAATTTCAATTTCAATTTTTAAAAGAAACATTATTGTTAAATTAACTATTTTCGTTATAAACTGGTGTGGTTGGAATGAGATATAAAAGTACTTTATGATTATATACTAACGTACAACTAATCCATTGCAATTCCATAATATACAAATACTTAACATATTATTTAACCTTCAAAATTTATTTTTACAAGTCAATATCTGTGACTGTTAGATGATAATGCCTCTCCTATTTACACTTAAATCTGGACTCGAGGTGTGAATGTGGCGACGATTTTGAAAATGACTAATATGGCTTCTAAAATATTTTATTAATAACATAAATATAATACTACACATTGAAAAATCCTATTGAGAACCCAATCGCGGTTTCGTTTTCGCTTTACAGGTCTTTACGTAAGCGAAAGTGAAACGCGACGAAGCCCGTTGTATATTTTACATTCGACGTTAAGGCACACCTCTTAAACGTACTCTTGCGTACTCTACCGGACAGGTAAGACAAAAGACATCTTCATTCTTTGAAACCATGACAAACGTATATTTCAAAACACAGTGTCAGTACACAAAAAACTCTTACGAGTTTCAAATCAGCGTAAGTGCCTGAAGTTATAAAGGACCACAAATCACACATAAGAATTATTAATGTTAGCTGTGTCCAACTCTTGAAATCAATCGCTTGATTTGCATATTTGATTCTCATTTATTTAAAAAAATAAAGTAAAATTAAACATAATACAACTGTACAAATATAAGAATACAATCATCGCGTAAAAAGTATCGAATTATTCTTATAAAGTGCCTTTACATCTGTAACATGAATACAGCCTACATACAAAAACTGTATATTGTATAAATTATTCATAAAATCTACTAAAACCTATTTGGAATTCGTGAACGGGATCTGCACCCGTCCTCCGTATACTCGGTTCCGACACTTCAACGTCCCGTAGCTTCGTAGACGTCGTCGGGTTACGTGTGCACGCGGCCGCTGTAGCGCTCGTGTAGCAACGCCTCGTGAGCGCGGAGGCGTAGAGCTTCGGGGTGCGCAAGCGCCGGGTGCGAAGGGTGGGACGCGTGTGCGAGCGCCGGATGCGGAAGCGGGGCGGGCAGCGGAGCGGGAGCGGGCTCGCGGGGAGGGGAATGGCGTGGAGGGGATGGAGAGTGCGGACGGGGCGATGGCGGCGCGGGTGGCAGCGCCAACACGTACCTGAGGAAGTCATAAATCCTATGAATATACGAAAGGGACAGCCCAACTAAAAAACACTGACGTGCCGACACCGAGGCGCAGTTGCCATTGACTTCGGCGTCGGGGGTCGTAGGTGCGATCCCCACACTGGACACCTACCTGTGTGATAATTGTTTAGGGTCTGGGTGTTTGTCCGCGTGAAATTTATGTTTGTAAAACGTCCACATAACACAGGATAATGTTCTACAGGAAGGGCTATGTTTAAAAAAAAGAACACATTTGCATTGCGCCTGATAAATTAAGTACTGAGAGGCAGATCTTAAGGTTAGCAATGCATATGTAACGAACGAGTACCTCAGAAGGTTACTAGTGCACAACTGTCAGTATGGATGGGTCACCTCGACTAGGGAAATACCACACAGAAGACTGACGTGAAGTAGAAGTGTTTGCAGATTTGCCTCTTGTGTGGTAAATTTAAGTACCAGCGTCAGATAATCTTAAATGTTAGCAATGTATGTGCATATTCGTATAATGTTATCCATAAGGGGTGGTAATAACTTTGATCAGTTGTGCTACTTTGTTTGCACCTTAAAAAAATGTCCAAAAATACGGAGTTAAAATATGCTTTCCTTAGATCGTGATATAAGGCCCCCAAATAATGAAAGAAGAAAACATCTGTTTATATATTATATGGACGGTTTAAGAAATTCGCTAGAGTATAAAGCCCCGAGGGTTTCGTGTCGTCCCTTTATATTCTTCACAATCAATTAAAGGAATATCGTCATAGTCCTCCATGCGACCCAAGTTGGCGAGTAAATCATGGTTGTCAGACTTCACTTATCATCGAAATGTTTTTATGTTTTCAATTCGAAAACATGGTTCACGATGTTTTCCTTCGCTTATTTACGTTTATTTTTTTTTTGTTTTATCACGTTTCACCGTTTATATTGGTTTAATAAGATTTCGATTTGGGGTGCATGAAAGGAGCCTCCCCGAGCGATGTACATATAGAGTCCGTACGTCCGGCGCACCCTGGGCAACAGTCAGAGATTCTCCCCCACTGATTGGCCAATCCTTTCACCACGATGTATCGACACGCAAAGAAGAAGAAGGTTTCGATGTCAGAGTGCTTTTGACTGTTTGTTTGTACCTGTGAAGCAACGCTCGAAAGGCGGCAGCCGGTGGTGCATCGCGCCAAAGCGGGGCTGGCAGAGCCCCAAGACCCAGCGCCCACCACTCCCCCGCCCCCCATTCCCCTCCCCACTCCCCACCTGCACAAAAACGATTAAAAATTAATAAAAAGTCACTTCACATTTATTCTATTTGCTGAAGTCTAAAATTGTTCGCATTCGTGTTACTAGTAGGTTTTTCACTTTATGGAACACCTTTTTGTATAAAAATATGTATTTATCACATTACATCAACATTATTTATTAGCTTCGCGCTGCAACACCTAAGTAAAGTAAAAAGGGGTTTATTTGAGAGAATAAACCTTAACCTATACGGAATAAACGAAAGAACACATACATTGCCACATAATTTTTTTTGGAAAAAAAAACATGATTGCGTTTACTGTATAATGTAGTTTATTAATAATGTATTGATTTGGTAACCACTAATATAATCAAAACTACTTCTATCACGCTTACAACGTTCTCTACATTCGGATAAAGCAAACGCATTCTTCATTACAATTGTTCATGAACTTCTCACCCGGGCCAAGTAAGTACTTGTTACTTATATAAGTATATAACCTACAGATACTTGTTCCAGGTCTGTCCTCATTTAACTTTTGTTTATGAAATGTCTATATACAGCCAAATTATCTTATGCTGCAGCAGAAGATTATATATTTAAGAAGTATTTAAAAAAGAAAAAGAAACACCTTTATATATTTTGTTACGGTTCCGTACCCAAAGGGTAAAACGGGACCCTATTACTAAGACTTCGCTGTCTGTCCGTCTGTGACCAGGCTGTATCTCATGAACTGTGATAGTTAGACAGTTGAAATTTTCACATATGATGTATTTCTTTTGCCGCTATAACAACAAATACTTAAAACCGACCAAGTGCGAGTCAGACACCGTTAATAAAAACGTCAAAAAAAATCAATTTATGGGAGAACCACTTAACCATCTTTTTATTGATAACGGTACGGAACCCTTCGTGCCCGTGTCCGCCTCACACTTCGCCGGTTTTAATAGTGCGTTTTCGCTTTAGACGTAAGAATTACAGTAGCGTGGGTATTGTGTTATGCATAGCACGTCGCATTCATTACAAGCGCTACTTACAATAGCCACCCTCGTGTGTTGAGCGAAGGGGTGAACGAGTGGCCGTAGAAGATTAACGCAGCTTTCCGATATATTGCGCAGTTACGAGCCGTGATAGCTCAGTAGAGCCGTGATAGCTCAGTAGAGCCGTGATAGCTCAGTGTCCGGGCGCTCGCCTTTAATTCAATATATACTCGAGCAACCTGAGTTCGATCCCCGGTGCCGGCACCAATAAAGTTTTCAACTTTAAGTGCTGAATTATCACGTCCTACGCGGTAAAGGAAAACATCGTGAGGAAACGTGGATATTTTCGAAATAATAACAAAAAATGTATTTCGAAAATATGTGAAGTCCGCCAATCCGCAGTGGGGCCGCGTGGTGGACTATGCCCTGATACCCTCTGTATAGAGGAGGCCTTTGCCCAGCAGTGGGACATGTATAGGCTGTTACTTTACTTTTTTTTTACTTTGACATGACATTTTATTGAGAACTGGCTAGTTTTTTCTTTTTTTTTTATTTATTTGTTCCTAGCCAGTATAGTCGAGGAAAGTAAACATTTCAGTAACAGTGTTCCAAATACAGAAGAGAACCGTTATTAATTGGTGAATTGTTGATAACTATGTTGAGTTTCGATTATCAGCTGCTCAGTGATGGTAACATTGTGTGAAGTTTACCATTCCGCAATGGGGCCACGCGTGGTCCATTGTCTGATATAATACTGTCTTAACCAATGAATCAATATTTTTTTTATTACAAGTATTTACGCAAAAAGAGCAAGAGCAGCAGCTTGTGTTCGAAACGTCAGGTATTTAATTTTTTATGTAAGAAGGTGGCAAGTGAACGGGTGGTTCACCTGATGTTAAGTGATAACCGCTGCCCATTGACAATTGCAATACTCGTAAGGTAGCAGATGCATCGGCACCTCACAAGAAAGTGCGCCTCGGCTACCTCACTCACCAGAAGAAACGCAGAAGTATAATACTTCTACTTCGCACCGGTCAAATGCGTTGCCACCTTTAAATGAAGTGGCGGAGGCTACCTTACTCACCAGACGAAACGCAGAAGTGTAACACTTCTACTTTACGCCGGTCTCCTGTGAGGTCCTGGTAATTACCCGGACGGGCCTGCCCATTAGCGCAACAGTAAAAACTCTTGCTCTACCACAATTAAGTATTAATTGTTAAGGAATATCAATTTGTATAGTGCTATTACAAGCACTTAAAATATTTTTTTGGAAGTAAGAGCTTCGGGCGCGTACCCAGATTTATTACAAATTTTTAAAATGTATAAGTTGTATTTTCCTTCATTACTATACTTTTTTATCTTTATTACTCTCCTTTCGTGTTAATAGTGTCGCCAAATCCGCAACTTCGTTCTATTCTGACCCCATGTTTGAATTGTGTTATCGCTATTGAATATGTATCGATTAGTACATTCGTCGCGGCAGGTGAGGGGAGCGCGTGTCCGTTGACACTTTGACTGTCGGACGATAAATCGGACAATAAGCTCGTTGTGGAAACGCACCTGCTTCTGTCACCCCTGTCATTATACCGCTGTTAACGTTCACAATCAATATAACAACACTGGGCACTTGGCACAAAAAATTATGCAAGATTAAATCCTACATTACAAAATGTAAGAAAGAAAAAATTAAAAACTTTTTCTTTCTTACATTTTGTATTGTAGGTGTTCGCTGTTGCACGAATGGGCAGGCCCGTCTGGGTTAGAACCACAATCTCACAGAACGGCGTGAAGTAGAAGTGTTACACTTCTGCGTTTCGTTTGGTGAGTGAGTTAGCCGGGGCCCACTTGATTAAAAGGTGGAAACGCATCTGCAAACCTACGGGTGTTGCATATGTCCATAGGCGGCAGTTTTCACTAAACATCAGGTGAACCGCCAGCTCGTTTGCCGCTTTTTCACATTAAAAAAAACGTATTTATGTACTCAGCTAATAAATATTTATTTAAAGGTACCGCTTATATGCACTCTTCTCATCTGATTCCTGACCAAAGATCTTTACACAGAGAGACATAATCTAAAATTATTTCGAATTCTTCCAAGTTGATTCTTATGTCAATTCTAATAATTACATTATAAGCATCCGTTGAACTTAAAGTTTGAAAATGTTACAAGTTCATTTTGTTATTTAATAATAAAGCTCACACTTTATTCCTTTACACCGCCAACGACCCCTCCCTACACCTTTGGCCGATTACGTCGGCCAATCGACGCTCATTATATAGCCATTTGTTAAGCGATACTTTCCGTTCGTTACACGGATCGTTGGCGTTATCGTTTTCTTTTAATGGAGGCCCGTTTCGCGCTAACGACATGTAAATAACGGGTTTGTGACAATCGCGTATTCATGATCCGAACCGCGTATTAACAGCGAGTTTGGTGGCTGATATGTGTTTAGATATTGATGATTTCTTGATTACTCTTACTAGATATTTACTATTTACTGTGTTCTTTCCCTTGACATTAAAGTTAATACTGATTATCTTATCCTTTAAACGAGCAATTCTTGTATATATATATATATATATATATAATCGGAATCTCGGAAACGGCTCCAGCGATTTTCATGAAATTTAGTATGTGCATAGATTCGGGGGCGAAAAATCGATCTAGCTAGGTTTCATTTTAAGAAAATGTCCTTTTATCCCTGTTTTCTGGGAATGAAAAATATAATTCGAATATGACGGTATATTTCGAATTTCGCCGCAAGAGAAAATGTCATAATAGCTCGGTCGGTAATCGGGCGGCCCCAAAACAGACGGCCGTGGTTCGCGTCACGATCATTTACACATTTATTTTTTTACTTTTTTATTGATTCCAGATCATTGCTTTCTTTATATTTAATTTTTTGTCGATTTGTTATTTTGTTATTTTTTTCCCTTTTTTTAAAAGTTCTTTCTTTTGTGAAAAACATCAGTTCATATTTTCTTATTATTACGTCGGTAAGATCGAAAAATATTATGCATATTTCATTACTCAGTATTTTGTATCTAAATGTAATTTCCAAAATACACGATTTACCAAAAAAAAAAACAAACCGAGCAAAGCTCGGTCCTCCGGGTACTGAGTATTTAAACACAAAATATAACATCAATTATGATTGTTCTTATTTTATAACTGCATTATTGTTTAAGATGAAACCTACATACAAAGGAATTTATGTCTTACAGACATATATGGTGTGTGATTATGAAATTAAAATTTCATTATTGTAAGGAGATTTCTACGGTGGTAAGGCCATGCAAGTGTTCGCTGTTGCACGAATGGGCAGGTCTGTCCGGGTTAGTACCACGACCTCACAGAAGACCGACGTAAAGTAGAAGTGTAGCACTTCTGTGTTTCGTCTGGTGAGTGAGGTAGCCGGGGGCCCACATTATTAAGAGGTGGCAACGCATCTGCAACCCTACGGGTGTTGCAAATGTCCATGGGCCGGCGATTATCAATTAACATCGGGTGAACTGCCAATTCGTTTGCCACTTTCTAACATAAAAAAGGAGAGAGAAGTGTCTTAAATTGTTCCATGCAGTCTTTCTCTTTTTTTTTTTTATTATGAAACATTACCCTTACTGTAGAATAAGATGAACCTACATTGAAGAGCCGTTTTACAAACACCCAGGGAACAATTATAACCTACATACACATTTATATGACGAAAATATTTGTCCTGAATGGGAATCGTACGCACGTCCTCGACGACAAAGTCTATTTAAAAACCGGCCAAGTGCGAGTCGGACTCGCGCACGAAGGGTTCCGTACCTCTATCCATTCATCACGTCTGTCATATCGGAGCCCCACTAAAATATTTTTTATTCTGTTTTTTAGTATTTGTTATAATAGCGACAACAGAAATACATCATCTGTGAAAATTTTACCTGTCTAACTATAGCGGTTCATGAGATACAGCCTGGTGACAGACAGAATAGGGTCCCGTTTTACCCTTTGGATACGGAACCTAACAAACTAATCCAGTAATTTTTTAATAATAGATATCACCTTTCTTATACGATGATTTCATTTTCAAATCAAGGACCATATAAAGCTTCATCGGACATAAATCTCGGATGAATATCGTTAGCTCTGGCTGGATAGCCAAAGTCATAAGCAGGGATCTGTTTAGAACTTTGAGCAAAATGATTTAGAGTTTGTTTTGGGTCTACGATATCTATTTCATAGTAGTACTTGCACAAATTGCTCGATAATGCGTGATTCATTTACATTACGATTACTGTTGTGTCAACAAACTGGCGGAGAAAGCTTCGTGACGCGATAACGATCGGTAAATGTCACGCGATCGTTCATAAGGGTGGTGTCGGTGTGTTTTCCATTACGTGACACTGTGTCGCACTGTGCCCATTGACACACGCAGTAAACACCAAACAAACCGCAGGTGTTAACGCTCGATAATTCGTAACACGACTCGACACAATTTCTGACGTTTACGCTATCACGTGCTCACTACTAGTATTTTTGTGTCATTTACACTGACCTACCGACTCAGTTTGTTGAGGGTCATTAACTTAATGGCGTAAAAGTATGTTTTAAAGGCGCTTTTTACGAGTATTACAGTTTCACTTTTATCATTAAATTACACTTCCTATGTTTAGCATTTATATTAAATCCGGTAACACGATCAATTTCCTATTGATTAAGAAGACAGTCTACGAAATAACATCTACAGTTATACTTACAAATATTTATGATTTCACATAGTTTCTCGATTTCTATTAAGGCCGATATCGTAGACATCACATACTGCTCGCTTGACAACTTTTCACATATAACAACTTACCATGTTCATGGTGCAAGAAAGGGGCGTGCTCCCTTCCCAACGCCTTCTCCCGTTTGCGCCACTTTGCACGTCGATTCTGGAACCACACCTGTGGATAAAGGCACGTGTTCTTAACATCGAACGAAACTTTTATCAGCGAACGAACCATTTAAAACAACGAAGAACATAGCACAGAGAATGAAGATCATTAGGGTTTCGTACTCAAAGGGAAAACGGGACGCTATTACTAAGAGACCCCTGTCTGTCTGTCTGTCCATCTGTTACCAGGCTGTATCTCATGAACCGTGATAGTTAGAGTCCAATATTCAAAAGGTTATCAAGGCATCTGTTAGACTCAGGTGTAGCAGATGCCCATGGGCGGCGATATTCACTTAACATCAAAGTATTCTTACCGAAAAAGAATATTTAGTTGTGCGTGAAAAGTCAATGTATATTAATCGTTATAGTAATATTCACTTCAATACGATCGCACGTCAACTGAACCATTTAAAACAAGTGGAAAACGTTTAAAGAGTAGTGAGCAATCGCCTCAACGGTTCGACTCGTTGGTGAATTATGAAATTACCGCAATTTTTTCGTCCGCACAATGTCTTTTTATTAGCGCAATGCGCCTCGACTAGCTCAATTCATTTCTATTCTCCGTGACTGGCGGTATGAACGCTACTCTAAGCTCTACGGCGTAGAGTGCATTTCAGGGTGGTGCTACGCCAACGCGAAAACCACGTATGCGTAATTGCTTTTCATTACAGCTCCATTGTCGTGGAGAGCGGCGGGCGCCGGAAATTGGCGGCGATTACGCGGGAAAAAATTAAAAGTGCACCCCCAGTGTCGTGGACATGCCACCCCCATTTACCTTGGTATATTAAATTTAACTGCGATCTCATCTTGAATTATGAACAAGTTATTTATCGATTTTAACTGTTCCTGTTCTCACATGTGAGATTATACCAATGCAGTGATTATGATTTGAACTTACTTAGACGAATTCTGTACTTCGTATTATTTTTTGGAGAAACAGTAACCTATGCTTCAGGACCTTCGAAAGATAATAAATATAATCTAAAGTTTAATGTTGAGAACTCTGACATTAAAACATGTAGAAAAAGTTCGAAAAGATTGTCGCCGCTGTGGGAATCGAACACACGTCTTCGGCATTCGCGGCCTGACGCTCTAGCCACTAAGCTAAACGGCTGATTGCCACACCGACGAAAATCTTAACGTACTTTATCTATATATTTTTTAGCATTTGAAGCAATGCTTGGCGCATCCATTGTTATATCCTTTCCAGCATACAAATAATTTCGAATATCGTTTTACAACGATAATTCGAACGAGATACGTCTCTAACTCTGACATGATTGCAAAAAGAAACAGACATATATGTCGCTATCGTTCGCTTTTTCATAGTTTACATTGATAAAATATTGCCACCGTCTATAGTTCTGATAAAAACTATAATAGGCAGGTATTTCCGGCGGGCGAGAATGGCATTTGATATTTCAAATAACAAGAAAATTCTAAAGTACCGTATAACATTTCCACGCTTGATAATTTACAAGGATGATATGTTAACTCTTGTAGAGATGAATCCATAAATTAGACATTCATTAAACTAGGTAAGTCGTAGCCGGTGAACACCACAGCCGAAGTTTAACGAACACTTGACCGATTTCCCAATTAACATCTCATCCGCAATTTGCTAGCCGCCAATCGGTGCCACAATTAAGCGTGTATGGACGCACGCGCCGCCATGCAACTTTTGAGGGCCTCAAGTACTCGCTCGGTGATCACTTGAGCTCTTTATTAAGGCCTCAAGTGCATTCTAAATTTCAACTTGATACAAACACCCCTCCACCCAATTATCAACTTTGTACATCCGTCGATAGGGTGCAAATTCCCATGTGCGCCCCCAGCGAGGGCGTATAGATCGTTTGTCGGCAAACGCCATCTATGGAGTGGAATTAAAAGCAATTTGCGCGTCGAGAGCGATTTACGAACCGCGTAAGTGCAGGGCTGTGGACAAGCTCTACATATTTTTTAGTTCAATTAATAAATTATAGGAAATCTTTAAAAAATCTGCGGCATAGGTAATAATAATTTACTTTCTCAGTGTCCATCTTTAACGAAATAGTTTGCATATCTTCATAATGACGTTTATTCGTAAGCTTAAATGACAAACTCTGTAGCCAATCATGTTAAATAGTTAAGCTTGATAGGCTCCTTTGGACTATTACATTTATAACACCCAAAATGTTATTGATGGAGTCGACTAATCTTTGTAAAGGTAGAGATTTCTTATACTATCCTTGTCTCTATTACGTTAGAGAGTCGAATTTGATAATGAACGTGATAAGTTTTATAATTTGTGAATATTCTAATTATTTTCATATATCAAAGAGTGTGAAATAAATATGCAGAAAACATCTACACTTCCCCTTTAACCAACAAGTGCAATGAGATATAAAATCTAATAAAAATAAATATTGTTTGAATTAATAATAAATACTTATATATCGTTGGAGTTCTTACTGATATTGAAAAGAATATTATGATTAAACTTCTAGAAAAAATGAATGAAAAGATTTTTCCGCTGTGAAAATCGAATCCGAGTCTACCGAAACTACTAAAATAAACGGCTCATTGCAACACCGAAGAAAATCTGAACGCATTTAATCTACATAGTTTTTTAGAAATTCCAGTAATGATTGACGCATACATTGTAATAACGATATTTCGAACGAGAGATGTCGTCATTGCTATTGTTTAGTTTAAAATGTTAGCTGATAAAAAAGTGTAATATTTGTACACATAAAAGAGTACAAAATTCTACAGTTCGTTCCGCCAACCCTGGCACCGTTGCGAGTATGTTACTGCAGTTCAAATGAACCCCAACGCTTTCAAGAGCCGTAACTGAATAGTTAAATGAATAAATGTACAAATTATTAAAAGCGCTCTCCCTTCATTGCAGCGACTGTACCGGTCTAGCTTTACCGACTTTAATGACTGAACACGTGTACAGTCATTTTCTTGCATTACTCACTGCGAAGCATGCAGTAAACTTACGTCAGTAAACTTCGTACAATTTGTCAGATGTAGTTTCACAATGAAGACAAGTAATTTAAAGAAACTTGTAGACTATTAAACTCTTTCATTTCAAATGTATATACCAAATATTCTTATATTTTTCATGTTTATTATTTTATATTTATATTAATTGAACTATGCTAATTTACGTCCATCATAAAACAAAATTAAGCCTAAGCTTGCTTAAACAGATTCGAGCTTTTATAAATTCGAGATCCTAAATATTACTTTCTCATGTTTAGGCTTAATAAATTTTGACTTTGACTCCCAGCTTATAAATCTGTTCCTAACATCAGAGTACTTGCTTCATACTGAGTGCCCCTCCACTGCAGCGAGCCACCGTAATCGTCAAATTGCAGACGAGCTCTATTTAAATGCAGCGTGAGAGTTGTTGGCGCTAGGCCTAGCCTTAATTAAGCCATTGTTAACGAGAGAGGCCAGGAGCTACGCGTTAGCTACCTGACAGATTACCCTAATTACCTCACCCACGCTTTTTAAGCAATTCCTGCTCAACCGTTACACAAGCGACCCGCGATCGAATCTCGCTGCCGGTGATGGCGCTTTTCAACAGACTTTAAAAAAAAAGAGGAGGTTCTCGGTTCTATTTTTTTATATTTCTTCCGCCACACCTAGGTAATTTACGAATCAATTGTAAAACTTTTAAAGTTTTCTATAGTGCTAATCTCTGCACTTAAGATTGAACATTAAAACATGTAGAAAAAGTATGAAAAGATTGTCGCCGCTGTGGGAATCGAACCCACGTCTTCGGCATTCGCGGCCTGACGCTTTAGCCACTGAGCTAAGCGGCTGATAGCCGCAGCGACGAAAATCTTAACGCCTTACTTCTACGATTCCCACAGCGGCGACAATCTTTTCGTACTTTTTTTCTACATGTTTTAATTATAAAACTGTTTGCGCATTGAGTTTGGTTTACTTCCCATGTGGTCCCATATCAATATCATTGATATTGTACCTTGGACTCCTCAAAATGATATGGATAATGTGCAGTAAGTGACATATTTGAAGTCAGTTTTTTTTTGTTAATAATAATAGTTGATGAATGGATACTTTATGACGAACATTTCGGGAAAGAAGTTCTTTATCGTAGGTTGGAGTTCAAATATATTACGATTTCATTCGACCCTCAGCGGATCTATTTATTTGCCTCTTTCTATTACACACTAGTTAATTGAGCACTTTTCTGGGGCGGAACCGAACCGTATACGCTTTTCTTTTTATCCAATGAAACCGATGCTATAAATGTCGTTTTACAGACCATACCCCTGTAAATTTCTTGATTTTGTAATAAATCAATCAAATCAGAAAATGTAAGAAAATATTCGACACGAAGTAACTACGTACAGCCCTTTTCGGGATATGTAAGTTAAGAAAAAAGGACTAAAAAAAGATCTTTTTTTGTTTTCGGAAAAACATTCCCTTACTTTAGGATAACAGAATCCAGTGTTGTAAGATGTTTTACAAACATAAATTTCATGTTGACAAACACCCAGATGCGGAACAACTAACTGAGGTTCATACAAATAGATGTCCCGTGTGGAAATAGAACCCACGATCCCCGATACCGAAGCCAATACCATAGCAACTGCGCCACGGAGTTATCAAAATATTCTCGAAATAATAATAGCGACAAACGGAATCGATGACGAGGTCTGTGGACGATGAACGAAGACTGATGAGAGACCGTCAAGTAAGCACAAGTACAATGTTAAAGTCTAAAGTTCACTTGTATCAATTAACCATTAAACAGGCTCACTGATCAAGCAACGCTGAAACATTGTAAAACATCATACACCTTGGAAGTATGACGATATTATACTGGTGCGGTGCATGATGTTTTTACTAATCTAAAGATCGAAACAATGATTGCACATAAATAAAAAAAATATACACATATTTTCGTGCCATTACTATTCAATATCGACCAATCAAAGGAACTCCGTAAAATACAGTAAGAAAATTACATTTTCTTACTGCAATTTAGGTAACTGCATTAAGAGTACTAGTGTAAATGATTTTACCAAATATCTATAGGTAAAATCGATATAAAGTTAACGTTTGTATATCTCTACGGCATTTATCCGGTCATCGGGAAACGAACGCAGAGGCCGCGCCGCTTCTGAGTTAATATAAAAAAACGGCCAAGTGCGAGTCGGACTCGCGCTCGAAGGGTTCCATACCATTATCTATAAAAACAGCAAAAAAAACATCATGCCTGTTCCAGTCAGATAACAGCTACCGATCGAGCCGAGGTCCGGCCCTCTCGGGCACCCTCGAATCAGAATGCTAAACGCGTGTTGAGTGACAGCTTGAGCCTGATCACTCCATGGAGCGTCCGCCAAAGCGCCCTAAGAGCTTGGCGGCCTCCCAAACCGGTGAAATTAATAGCGTGCCCTCGAGCTTAGTCACCATAACGCGTAATAATAATACGCGAGGTTTAGGCTAGGCACCTCGACCGCCCGGCCCCCTCAAGTCCGTCGGATCTGTTAAGGCCCCTAAGGCCAACAGTGGCTCATACAGTCCAAAAAAAAATCATGCCTGTTGTATGAGAGCCCCACTAAAATAATTTTTTATTCTGTTTTTAAGTATTTGTTGTTATAGCAGCAACTGAAATACATAATCTGTGAAAATTTCAACTGTCTAACTATCACGGTTCACGAGATACAGCTTAGTGACAGACGGACAGACAGACAGCGGAGTCTTATGGTCCCGTTTACACTTTGGGCACGGATCCCTAAAAAGGCAGCGCTTTCGAATCAGTGCCTGGCAATTAGCTAGTATGAAATAATTAGAACGAGTTACCGCTTAGTGCGGTTTCCGCGACCGATTAGAGCAAACATCGCAGCGGCGAGGGCGTAATGGGGCGCGAATTAGCGTCCATTGTGCGCCCGCGCCCGACCGCCCCCGCCGAGCCCTAATTAGCCGTCGAATGTCCCCCGCAATGCATTGCAACAGAATGCGGAGCGCCGTCGACGCGCGTTTCATAATTACGGGCCATTCTTGCCGCCTAATCCCCGCCAAGGCTGAGTTCTTAATGATGACGATTAAGCGTAACTAGTTGACGAGTGCGCGAACAATTCAACCTTAATTCGCCTTTTCGCCCGCCTTTGGATGTGCGCGAATAGCAACGGTATCTCCTTCAGCAATCAGCCGGTGGGTGCTCTGTTGCACTCTTTTCTATAAAATTAGTGACGCTCTAATGAGTTTTTAACCAATGTCTTTAAATCACCGTTCGTGCACATGTTATTCATCCGGCTCGAAGGACCAGAAATGTGACTCGGCAATTAAAGCTTCCGATTGATGCTACCAAAATTCAAATTTAAAGAGCAACTATAATAATAAAACGAGAGGGTTATGATTTCATACACGTATATCAATAAATATTTTTCGTGATAAAATTATTTCTCCTTTTAAATACTACTAAACTAAAATCTTTTAACTTATTTCATAAGTTGCACACAGCTGAATGATACAAAACAAATGGTCTATTTATGTTTTAAACGTAACTTCCAGTTATACACCACTCCCCCGTTAAAACCAAAACTCCAAGATTATAGAAATTGCCAGACTTCACCTACTCAAATACATTGTAATTAATCCAGCAATCGAGAAGAAATTATAGAAGCAAGCACCAATTCTAAAGTTCACACCAGGTCATTTCAATACGATTGAGTGCGACGTGTCTCTTAAAGGCAAAGAGAATTGGTGTTATTGAACTACAGTGCGTTTTTCTTACTAACTTTGCGATGAATAAACAGTAGTTTGTCTCATTTGTATATCGCGAACTAGCTACCCTTTGTCATCAGCATCAGGATTGTCTCCTGTTACCGTAAGTTAAGCTATAACCACACTGTATCGCTTCGGTTCGCGCGGTGGGGGCGGCGGGCGGGGCCGCACAATGTCGTTAATGTTAATTGTCGTCCGGCGCGGGGAGTGCCCGCGCGGGTGTGGCAACACCTTCACCGCAACCCGCCGTCCAATGCGCTATGCCGATAATAGCAGGCCAGACACCATCGCCCGGTATTCGAATTTAGAATATCGATTTATAAACACACTAAAGGATCCACAGAATAACTCTACATCATTTTTAAATACATATTTAAACACTGTCAAAATTTTATCACAAAAGGATCCATAAAATAACTCAACATCATTTTCAATTAAAACTATGTCAAAATTTCCAACTTAAAATAGTGACTTCCAAATCATTTTTAACTCCAGAATGAATGTCAGTGTCAAAATGCAACTTACTGTGTGTATTAACACTGTTTGTAAGCATTTAGCATAAGATCGAATCGTTTCCTTAGGGTAAAATAGAAGGGGCCCATCTTTTATTCTCATTCGCACGTCAGTTACGCTGTCTGGACCTGGATGGGCCCAGATTTATAATGAACACTAAACTTGAATACGTAATACTGTAATCCGTTTATATGAGCTTTATTTTTTTAAAACCTTTCCTTTATTTATGAGGACGTTTCACAAACTTAAATTTTACGTGACCGAACACCCAGATGCAAAAGAACTCGGTCAACAACAGAGTCACATAAATACTTGTCCCGTGTGGGAATCGAACCCACGACCCCCGACAACTTAAACTTATCTTACCGCATTTTATTAGAACTGTTTTCCAGTATGCTAGTCCATTACATAGTTATCTGAAATTGCGTACATATCGCGTAGAGTGTTGAAGCGGCACTTACTTGTACCCTAGCCTCGCTGAGGTCTAGCCTCAGAGCGAGCTCCTCCCTCGTGAACACGTCCGGGTATTGCGTCTTGTCGAAGGCCCGCTCCAGTTCGTGGAGCTGGTACGTCGTGAAGGTGGTACGGCTGCGACGCACCTGCTGGCGATTGCGGTACATTAAATCGACACTAACAGCACTAACATTAAACATTTCTTACATAAGCTTTTCTGTTTCAACAAAGTTTGTTTGAAATTTGTAATCGAGTATGCAATAATGATAGATCGACATATGTTACAATTATATATACAAATACATATATAAATATGAGTACTAAGCAAAGCTTGTGCTTTGAGTACTAAGGAACAGATACACATACTGAAACATTCCAATAAACCAAATCCAGTGGCTTAGTAACCTACCTCCCCCTTTTACGTCGAAGGAGAGAAGAGAAAAAAATAGAATGAGCTATCGCGTGGGTTAATAGTAAGAGTAGAAGTAGAAAACATCAGCAAGTCACCTTGCGCGGCCTTCCGACGTCGAGGGAGTCCATATGCTCGCTGTGATCATGCTCTCCTTCATGCGTGTGTGCGACCTCGCCTTCATGGTCGTGCTCCTGTTCTTGTTCTTGTTCTTGCTCAAGCTCGGAGTCAGACTGGGCGCCGCCCTCCGTCTTCAACTCCACGCCATCTAGCGTAGGGCAGATAAAAAAAATAATTAACAAAAATAATTAAGAAAAGAAATCTGGGCCCATCCAGATTCATATTAAATACGAAACTTGAATTAACTTATATTAAATAATAATAAATGTTTTAGGATACATTTTTACACCACCTCCTCTAGTCCCGAATTAAGGAACGCTTGTACTATGGAGTACTAACTGTTGAACATACTTTTCTATTGTGAATAAATACATATTATACATATATAGACACCCAGACACTAGAAAAACACTATGTGCATCACAGAATATTTTTCCATTAGTGGGATCGAACCCACACCCTCTAGCGCTGGAGGCAGGTACACTACCCGCTACGCCATTCAGGTCATCATCACGATTTTAGCCTGCTTGAGTCCACTGCTAAACATAGGCCTCCCCCATACTGCCACGAAGTATGATCCTGAGCCACCTGCATCCATCGACGCTACTTATAAGAGCTCTTGAATATGACACTACTTATTCTATATTTTCTTATTTTGACGCAGCGATCGTAATCGTTTTGATTGCCAATGCTGCTCCTTGTATGGGTATGGGTGCGAGTAATATTCTGGCCCATATTTGGGCCCATCCTGATTTATATAAAATACTAAACATGAATTAAGTAATACTATAATCCGTTTATATAAGCTTGAACTGTAAACTTATAACACCGAATTTTTTATTAGAAAACTATGTAGTAGACACTACATAGTTATCTAATAATTGCGTAAAAAATGCATTATTTTTTATTTTCCTATTTTAACGCAGCCACCGCAACATAAAACATCTGACCTCCCAAAGAGCAATCATGGTGATTGATGCATGCTTACTCCATTACTCTTAATACTTAGATAATAGCACAAAAAATCCATTTTGTTTTACGGCTAGTTTCATAACCATTAAATCCGATTAAATAGAAATCGATAGACGAAATCATGTTTAGGTACAAATTAACAACTTTGTTCCGGCTTGTTAGTCTGGATTGGCGCATTTCTTACTATTCAGCGCTGTTATAGGCTCAGTTCCCACTCATAACAATTATTAATATAATATAAATGTAATTGATGAACATTAGATATTAATGTACGATAAATTCGGTGCATATAATTAAATATGTAATTAAAACCTTGTCGGTATCAGACAATAATTTTACACTTCGGAGCCTACCATTTTAAGACACCGCCAATTATTTGGTTAATGATGAAAGTTACGCAATATTTATTAAAAAAATATCTGATCAGAATATCTTAATGTGAAAGTTTAAGAAACTTAATCTATTGTACAAGAGTACAAAGAGCCGATAATTTTTTTTTGTGTATCTATTATTTGTACCGATCCTTTAATAACTATTATACCTGTAATAATTATAAACTTTTAATAAGTATTGCTTTAATAATTTATAAACTATTTTATAGAATTTATTAAACCGTGGGAGCAAAAGTTTTTTCATCTAAAAGAAATTTGATAAAGCCCATGTAGAGTTGGTAGTCTGATGTGTTTGCTAATACATAATAAAATAATTCAACGGATCCTAAAATATCTATTTTGGCCCTCACTGTCACCTTCACTGGGAAAAAACACAAAAAGGACGTCTTTCTAACAACCTCTTCTTGTACGTTGTGTCAGTGTTTATTTCAACTTTGACATTCACCGTAAATCTTTTGTAAACAGGACAATACTAAAAATGTATCAATATTTTTACAACTTAAATGAAAGAATTATGTTCAAATAAATGAATTTAATGCGTTGTAATGTTAAAAGAGCGATTTTTTTTTTGTTTATTTTTACTACGATTATATATGGTCGGTGATTTTTGACATACAGTCATCATGAAACTCCTTTCGAATATAATAAAAGCACTTTTACTAAAAAATGGTAAAAAATATACGACTAAAGTAGTTATCGTAAGAAATACCGATTGCAAATACATCATAGACATCTCATCAACTAACTGAATTGTCATAATGAATTACCTAGAGAAAATTATAAATTCTGTTTAATCATTGATTTCCTCTTTTTCCGCCGAAATAGAAAAAAATAGAAACAACTCTCTAACATGAACGCCTTATGGGAGTCAGTTAGAAGATGACTATACAAACTATCGAGCTAATCGTCCTGTCAAAGATATAAACTCTATCTTAAGAATCAATCTACTATGTTGTTAGCAAAATATTCTTCCGCTTCTGCAGACCAATAGGTCACTGGCTCTCATATCCCTGACGACGACGGCTAAACCAGTCTACAACTCACTGCTTGCTACAAAATTTCAACACATTTCACACAAAAGGTTGATAGTATGCATTTTTCCGCTGTATATGCAACTAGCTTAAAGGACACAAATAACACAAAAAGTTTAAAAGATGCAATACAATGAGAGACAATACGAATCAACTTAAAAGCATCTCTTTAGTACTCTGTTATTTCTACACTGTCCGCGAATATTAACGATTATTCCCACCGTAAGTTCGATCCTTTAATCCAACACACCGGCGCAGATCACTCGATGTCGTGACCTCGCTACCATCGGAATATACACACGCTAATTACCACTGCGGCCACACAATTTATGACCTTAAGGTAACGTGTATAAGGTAGAAATTGCTCCAACGCGGGATCAATAATCGGGGGCTGCATGACCCTCGGTAGATCACGTCTAAAGCAAACAGAATGCTCGTTTTGTTAAGCACTTAACGTCAGAGGATGTTACTCGCACTATTTATTTATTGTAATTGTATTTTTTCGGCTTCGCAATAATCCCCGCTTTATGATAGCACAATGCTGACATGAGATTAAAAACGACTAAACGCTCATTATTACCATTGTATCTCGAAAAGGGCATTACATTAGTATCGTGTACTGCCACTATAGTGATTAGTTAAAGCCGTATTTTATAAAGAATAATCTTGTAATTATGTCAATAACCGAAATCATCCAACCCTCATTGCATCGTATCTTTTGTTTTCAAGTTGCCTATTTTTTATAATTTGACTGAATGCAGATAACAGTCTCTTGGTTCTGTTTTTTAAGAACAAAAAAGTTTGTAATCCGAGCAGCCAAAAAGGTTTATCATCGCGACTGCTCCTATAGTAAGTTTAAAAGAATCAATTATGTGGACTTGCTTGCAATGTTAACGAAAAGGCACTTGAAATACTTGAAAAGGGGTCAGGACGTAACTTCAATAAATCGAGTGCAACACTCTTCCCTCTAATAAGCAGTAAATGAAAGCCCTTCTGAGTTTGTAGCCTAGGAAACGAAGAGAAAGCTCCGTATGCAGTGGGGAATCCCATTTAAAAATAATAGGCAGTCTCATGGGGATTGCCGACAGAAGTGAAAACATAAAACAATATCAAATGCTATAAAAACAATAAAACACGTTAAGATTTTCTTCAGTGTGGCAATCAGCCGTTTAGCTTAGTGGTTTAAGCGTAAGGCTGCGAATGCCTAAGACGTGGGTTCGATTCCCACAGCGCCGACAATCTTTTCGTACTTTTTCTACAAATAACAATATTAAAATTAAAATTGTATAATATATTATAATTAAAATTTAATTCTATATATTTTATTGGCACTTCGAACGATAATAACAGTATATATATTATCTATAAGTACAAAATATGTATTTTTGCGTATACCTTTTGGAAAGCGTCCGTTGACGATGACGTAAGTTCCATGATTTTTGTTCACCCAAAAAGTGCTCAACGCGCCTAAAGAAGCTTTAACTTCAAAAACAAAATAAACAAGGCACAATTTCTAATTTACTTAAAACCTTTGGCACGGTTAAATGAAACTATTTTATTTAATGAAACCCGATGAAATAGTTGAATTTCTATTGTTCGCGTAGACAAAAGTAATTCAAGAAATCAACCTATGATAAATCTACTAAATCTGGTTGTGTAACCTCAGGATCAGAGGCTGTCGTGACTAAATAATTTATACAAATCTAACATCCCAAATAACATGTGTCGATCCCTTACGGACCCTTGTTTGAGCTATTTGAAATAGTTTTGTGCCGGAACTCGTGTTAACCCGTAATTTCCGGATAGCGAAATTTGAATGTTTAACATATATTTTATCAAAAACTGCTTTCCTTCATGTTCTAAAGCCTACTAGAAATTATTTATTCTATTTGCTGGAACACAACACATAGATATGATACGACACATAGTGTTATATACACATAAATAAGGTATTTTACAAGATTAAAAGAATTTTAACAGCGAATTTCCATCTAAAGACGTGCATGCACGATTTAAGATATCTCATTGATAAGTTTACCTAATCGTTATATTTAAGTATATAATAAGATTAAAATAGTCCACAAAATGTGTATGATAAATATTACAATAGTAATAAATAAATAAATAAATAATGTGACATATTTTTACACAACATTATCTAGTCAGAAACTAAGCACTGGGTAACTGATAAACATGTAAAATGAAACATGTTACTTCACGTATTTTTATTTGGTAAACAAATATAAATTAAAGTTATTAACGCCCGGACACTTGAATAACACTATGTTCATTACAAAATATTTTTCCATTAGTGGAGATAAAACCCACACCCTTTAGCGAATAACATCGGTCCACTATCCACTACGCCCTATGCTTTAAATTTCAATATACTCTAATGTATTTTTAATTCATAAGTAAGTTTGTCCACATAAAAAATCATTCCCAAAAAACATACCCCCTCCATTCTAATCTCACTAACCACAAAGACTAACCAATTCCAGATTTAACCAAAGGTGGCCGAAATTACTTTAACATTAACCTACAACAACATAATATCAAAAACAAGCAGTAAACTAATATCATATTTTAAGGAGAAAATTTAACGATGTTTTTTAGATATTATTAGCCGAAACAAATCGCTCGCGCAAGTAAGATGGTGAAGTTGGACAATACAGGATATTAATGAAAGTGAAAAAGTAAAGTATCAGCTGTACAGAGGATGTCAGGGCACAGTCCACTGCGGATTGGCATAC